TTCAAAACTGTTCGAAACTTAAAAAAAAATCACTTAAAGCTCCAACGATGTTTGTCCTGATTTTCTCGTTCAAATCAATCCTTTGTCCAATATCCTGCTTCCAGCAGAATCACAGAAGATATCCGGTCGACTAGCTCTCACTCCTTTGTCTCAGATCGTGTTTCGTCGAATCATACGTTTCGTTACCGTTAATAGAAAATTAATTCAAATTTCACTTGTAATATCCCGTCCGCGGCTGAAAATAATTGGCAGAGGGAAAATATTGGGATCTAGGTGAAATTACCGGAACGCAATATCAAGTTATTTCATTTATTCGTAAGGCCATACATCGCGCACTGAGGTGGCGGAAGGTCAACGCTTTTCGGTCAGAACTCGCAATCGCGACCGCGACGGATCCACGCGCCTCGGCGAATTACGGTCTACTCCTATCCTAGCGCCCTAATTATTCGCGAAGGTCAGTCACACTTCAATTACTTACTTGGAATTAATGCGGCGATAAATCCTGCACGAAGAAAAGGAATATGCTAGGTTACGCTCTCACTATCTAACGCTCGGAACTGTCCTTGGCGAGATCCAGTGGCAAAATGGAAGAGAAACGGTTCTCCGCGGTCAAAGATCTCTCATTCTCTCCTCTTTCCAAGAAGAAACACTATTATTGGCCGATATGTAAATTCGGATATCGGTAGCGCCCTCCGAATGTGTCGTCATTGGTCAATATATAAATTAAGAAGGTAACAGCGCCCCTCGTCTTATCTATTACGCATCAAATTTTACCCTCTCTCACCCCCCACTAGGTCGGTCAGCATTTAATCTAAGAGAGAGATTCATCCCTACTCTTGTCGGAATTTTGATGAGGACGGAAATCAAATATTCTAATGATTTGCCTATTGGTCGTGACGTCATCAACAAATTTCGTCCGAGTTTCAAATTTCATCGGCTAGCTATTAATTTCAATAAATGCGCGGCTTATCGCTTTCAAGTATATATAAGAGTTTGCGAAATTACATACATTATTTAATCCGTACGATACGGTTCAATTATAATTAATACATTATATTTAAGTCAGTTCTAAATTTAAAACAAGTTTCAAATCGCCTTACATTTAATTACAATTAATTCGCATACGCGTACAAATAAAATCGTAATTTTGAGTCAAGTATAGGCGCGCCTTTAGTAATCTATCTATCTCGCTCTCTCTTCCCCTTAATTAGTCTATCTCGCTCGCACTCCCGCTTAGTCTACCGCGCTGCCGCTCTAGCTAGCTTAGCGTTCTAAAATGGCCGCCTACTCTCTAACGCGTGCACCTCGTGTCTCGGTGCCGGTAGTCGTAGCGCCTCCTGGAGCGCTCCGTTTTTCGGTCGTGTGCGGTTTCGGAGTGTTGTGTGTGAGTGTCGGCAGTAGTTCATATCCAGTGTGTGTGTGGCGTTCAGGATGTCGTCGATGGTGCGCAGCAGCCCGACTCAGCTGATTGCCGGCTGCCGCTTCATCGGCGATTTTCTGTTCGCCCCAGGAATGTCAGCGTGCTCCGGGTGTCAGTGTCAGTGTCTGGGAGTGTAACGGGTCGGTACGTGTCGTTACGTGCACCTCCGTTGCACTTTTCAGTCAAGTTTTTCTTGTTTTTCTTGCCCGCCGGCAACACGTGGTCAGGAGTGTGTGTATGTGTTCTCTCTCTCGTGCGCTCTCTTTTTTTTTTCATCCGTCGGATCGCGACAGCTCGTCTGTTTTTCTTGTTTGTTTAGTTGTGGTTGGCATGTAAGGGAAAATATGATTTTCGCATTAGGCGCGTTAATATTACGTATTTTCAGCTGGTTACGGGGCGGCAAGGGACAGGGATGGCCTTTTCTGAGGTGTTGCAAATAGCGCAACACTCTCTGAAAAGGCCATGTAATGCACCGTATTATAATATATAAGTAAAAACGCTTAACTTTTTATAAAGCTGAGTTTTTTACTTTTTTTCATTTTATGAAACTACCATAACTTTTATAGGGTTTTGCATCTATATTTTGTTTATGTTCATCGAGAACAGAAAGAATGTACGATGCAATGTGGGGAAAAATATTTGACATAATTCCAGAATTAAGAGATAATATCCGTTCCGTTATCTGTGATTTCGAACGAAGTCAACTCAATAGTCTTATATCACACTTTCCAAATGTGACTATCACAGGCTGTTCATTCCATTACAAGCAAGTAAGTATACGAAAAAAATGTATAGGAATAGCTGCCAAATTATTCCATAAGCTAATGCACTATCATAAGCTCGTATAGTCTTCGATTTCGGAACACTATTTATATACGGTCGTGGACTGCTTAAAATTGATTTTTCAATCGTGACTCTAAACATACATATGACTTATATATATCTTAAAATAAGACATCGTAGTTAATTTTTGTCATAAAAAGAACTGTAGTTGATCAATGACATTTATTTCACACGTTAAATATCTCGTAGTATTTTTATAACTATTACTTTATCAATATTTTAGAATCTTGCAAAGAAATGGGATAACTTTGATATAAACGTTCAGTACGACTATATCTTGGAAAATGCATATGCTCTGATACACCTACCGTCAGATAAAATAGACGAAGGATACAGGCATATAGTATCTTTAATTGACCAAGCCGTTAATCCAAGATCTATTCAAGGCGAAAAATTACAATCTTTCGGAACGTATTTGCGGTAATGGTATACACTTTGCCTCTTTTTTATCTCTCTAATCGCTGCCTTAAATTCTGTGATTAGTCGAGTAATAATATTACGAAAACCATCTGTGATTTTTAAGTGAATCACTAAAGTACTGTAACATGCAACATTCCAATAGAATCTCAAAATCAGTTGTCAACGCATTAATTTGTAAATTATTTCTAGGACTACCTGGGTACCATTAGCAAATGTAATATCTGTTTACAATCAACCAATAAAAACAAATAATATTTCCGAAAATATAAACATGCACGCTCAAAAAATATTCGGAAAACACCCTAATATTTGGAAAATGATCAGTAAGTTTATTGGTAGAACAATAACTGAAATATAATATATCTAATGATTGCTTTTCTAGTCCTGTAACTGGTAATAATGTGTATGCTCGTGCGGGTGAGGTAATCGTCATCACTATTATTAATATGTGCGTCAGTCGATACTGCTTTATTGTGCGACGATCTTCATCCATCAGCAAATTCGATTATGCTCGTTACAGTACAATGATAGTATAAAAAATGTTCATATAACTTTGATATATTATAAGTAAATTCTTAGCTATAACATGTGTGATATGCCAAATACCTTTCTTTGAAAAAATTTCTTTGGTATCGATTATTTAAGCTACAATTACAATTGCATTACTAAAAGGTCAATAAATTTTATAGCAATTAACTAATTAGATAAATACATTTATAGAAAAACTTAAAGCGTATACAGCAAGTGTTGGAAAGGATATAAGAAATGCGATGAGAGGATTGAATGTCAAACCAAAAAGACCACTGGAATTAATTCAGTCTGATTTTGCTATTCGCCGTGCTGAACAGAATCTTGAATTGGGGAGGTCAGATAAATTTATGTACAAATTATTAATCAATACTGATTCATATTTTATTGACAATTAATAATACATTAACCTTACAAAATGTATATTCGACATCTCCTTGACGTTTTTCCTTTTAACCCTCGTCGGTCACACTTCAGTAGAATCGCATAACGGTCACACTGGGTGAGATTCACCGTCGAAAAAGTAACATTTTGCTTCGCTAATGAGTTTTTTTTATCTAAAAATAATTTGTATGCGTTTTTTAAGGATTATAAAAGATGTTTTATGAGTATCATTAATCAAAATTAATTTTTTATACATTAAAAAATTGTTTTTATTTAACATAACAAAAAAGTCATTTTTCTAATTAAAAAATTTATATCTTTTTACACAATTCATATAAAGCAAAAAAACCAATAGGAATCTACTCCTAAAACATAATAATTTCATTAAAAAATAATATAATATTGATTCTTTTAAAAAGTATAATTATTTTAAAGATTGAATGCACGAAAAATGTAGTTACACTGGGTGAATTTCACCCAACGATTTTTGAGGGTTAACTCTGGACAAATGCCAGACGCACAGAGAAGGGTCCTAAGCCACGCTAACTGTATAAAGGTATAGAGGGTACCTCAGACTAACAGTAGATGGCGCCTTAAGGGTATTTTCAAACACTAAGGTATTTTCTGAGGAGTTAATAATTTTGTTTGGGTGAAATTTACCCACGGTGACCGATGAGGGTTAAATATAGAAGTTTATTATAGATTATAGGTTTTTTTACAATACTTTTACACACACACACTAAATTATGTATATAATATTGTTATATCGCTTCAAATAGTAATTTAAGATAAAATAAGTAATTAAACTGAACAATATCTTCACGTACGAAATAAACAGTTAAGTCTGTTGTAACAAATATGCTTTTCATGAGGTTGGTTATAATTCCTTTTATAGATATGATGTTCAGGAATTTTTATTGACAGTAGCTGCGACTAGAAGACCACACTTTGCTAGAAGTAAGCTAAATTCAAAGTTAGAACTAATAGGGCATATGATAGAAAGTAGTGCTACTTATAACGGTTAATACATACAGACCGTGATTGTAAATGTAAAATCTTTTAATTGAATAAATTATTAGTCATTATGCAGAACCAGGAACGTAATACGATTAATAATATCATTAGCCTGGTAGATATGGATGACGTACCAGATTTAATACGTATCCTTCAGCACAACCCTGGTGCAGGTACAGTACTATTTCCCTTGATAAAATATACATTTCTAACAAAATAATTTGAGCATTCTTATGTGAATCTCATTTTAATTTCACTGTAGGTGGTGAATTTGAAAATGCCTATATACGTCGAAGGAGGCGAAGAAACAATCTCGGGAGAGATCATAATCTGATGCCAGGTCCTGTACCGGAAGTACCACCGAGGGAACAAGTACGACGCGGAAGACGGATCGCAGCACCTCGTCCTAGAAACCGGGCTGCAATCATGAATGAAAATGTAAATATACTAATGTTGGGTGCAGTTGAAGTAATACTATGTATATTATACGATTGGATGAAAATTACTATACCATTGGATGAAAATTACTATACGATTGGATAAAAATATAAATTACAGCAAGCTGATGGAGCAATAGAAAACCCTGAACCAATGGCACATATTCCACGTCGGAGAGGAAGACCACATCTTGTTCGTGCTGTTAATGAAAATCATGATCTGGTAAGTTACTTATTAAATAACATTATTTGATAAATCTGCAAAAGGGTTTGGCCACTGCGCGTCAGGACCATCTTCTGTTGATATATTATAAGGGTTCAGCTCCGATCAAGAAAGATGGCATTGACTTCCACGGAGAAAACAACTCGCTATAGCTAGGAGAGTTATAATAAGGAAAATCGCGGTTCGCAATTACAAAAAGGAGGAATCTATTAAACAACGCCAACAAATGACAAATAAAATACTTATATTACTAGACTTTACATGGCGCGAGAGAGCGTATTTGCCCAACTCAAATAAGGGAAGTGAGTGAATTTGTAAGGTTATCATGATTGAGTGAAGGCTGACTCAAGTCACGCTTGGTCGTGCGAGGAAAATACCACATACACACACACTGTCTGAAATCCATCATAAATATAGTTTTGTTCAAGAATCTTATTATTACGAAATAAATTTAAATATTTTAATTACAGCCAATAGCTGATGTTAACGTTGGACAGGGGCTGAATGAGGCACTCGGACAAGGTCAAATAGACGAACCGGAACTCCTTCCTGTTGAAGATGTAAATGACGATCAAGTAACTAAATTATTAAATTACACGATTCGATAAATTTATGTTAAATATAATTCAAATCGTGAATTGTATTATTACGAAATAAATTTAAATATTTTAATTACAGCCAATAGCTGATGTTAACGTGAGGCAGGGGCTGAATGAGGCACCTGAACACGTAGATGAACCGATACGTCTCCCTATTAACGATTTAAATCATCATCAAGTAAGTGAATTGAATCAGATGTGAGTTAGCCATTTAAGCAACACATATATAAAGGACATAAATAAATATTTACATATAATCTTATTAATATAAATATCACATGTTTTTTATGAAAACAAGCTTTACACATGTTCTACAACATAAAAACCATTGAAACACTACGGATGATGGAGAAATCACAGCCTTTGTCAACATAAAAAGCGCTATATACACGTAATGACTTGTTCAAGTTTGATTACAGTATACACCAACGCCAAAACATACTTTATCTAGCTTATTCAGCGCAACAATTCTCGCTGCCGAATTCTATGAGTTTTTGTATCACATTTTCTCACTTAATTTATAATAATATGCATGTTGATTATATTAGTATATGCCTCTTCAATTCATATGATACACATTAACTTTTATAAAACTATATATCTATATAGGCTTTCGATGATGATATACTAGTGGACAGAAGACCTCAACCTGCACGTATACTAAACGGTATAAATTATTCTTATATATTTTTGTTTATTTTCCATATTTATCTACACACTGACATTTTCACAAAGATAAACCTTGTACTATCGAAACGATAGTAATGTATAGTATCAATGTTTTTTATTATTTAAAATTATGAAAGAATAATATCTCAACAATATGTAAAAAGATGTTGTGAATATTGAAAAAGATTTTATTTTAAATCGTAAAAATGTACGTTACTAATGTACACTATAATCATAGCTTTATCACATAATAATTTTTTTCATAATATTTTTTTAATTTCAATGAAATTTATAATTATTACAATACTCTAATACTATATCTCTTTGAAAAAAGCTGCGAATTACATATTTTTATATTCTTGTAATAATTAATATTGAGTGCCAATTTTATTTTTTATATATACAGATGGAGTTGATGCAGAAAGACCAAGGAAGAGGCGTCGTAGAGGAAAGGGCGGAAAGTCAGGTAGTAATATCATTACAACAACATTTATACATGTAAATGTTAAATTAAATGAATTTCTTGAAATGAAAAATTTAATTTAACTATACATGTATAGATCAGCGTTGTAAAAATTATATTACTAGGCATGCATATGTCATATTTAAAATAAGAGTAGAATATAGGCATATCCATAGAACTTTTGACATTTGAAGTTTCAAATAGAAGGTACACCTATGAATACAGAATTTCATTTAGCTTCTTTTTCGTTTCATTCAGCTTCATTAACCACAAAAAGATAAAGTAATTTATTTGTAAGGTTATATCAAGTGTTAACAGTGATCTACTTAGCTTAAAGTACTCGTATATCTATAAGCAGTTTTCATTGAATATAAAATAATAATAATGAAAGTTTTGGTTGATCGCACGGCTGTCAGGAAGTCTTAAGAAGTTTATATTTAAATAAGAGGCGAGATAGAAAACGAGAAAGCACAAGGAAAAAATCAACACATGGAATAGACGCTTGAAAAATTATAAAGAAAAAACACAAAACTGAACATCGTTATTACGGATATAAAGGAAGATCTGATCTGGAAGAGGAAACAAGATGTAGAAGAGTGGCTGAAAGAAAAACTAAGGATAAGAGGCGAGATAGTATATGCAAGAAGAACAGAAGAAAGAAATGAATAAAAAGAGAGGAAAAATGAAAGAGAGTGTAAGGAAAATAAGAAGATATAAATAATCAAATGCAAGTCGTAAGAGCAAAAAGAGGAAATCATTAAAGAAAAACACAATCTAGCAAGAAGAAAAGCAAAAGAGCTAAAATTAAAAGTGAAAGCAATAAAACAACGGCACAACGATGTCAAGACAGAAGAAGAAGAAACTAATTAAAAAAGACATAGGGGCATATCAAGAAGACTAAAAGAAAAGAAAAAAAGTAGGCTGCGAAGAAGGACAGAAAAAGAAGAATAAGAGTGACAAGATACCCTAAGGCAAGAAGTTGGTTCGGAGAAGAAACGATAAAGGGCAGTGCAGGAAAAACAAGATAGAATAGAAAACAAAGTAAAATTTGAAAAGACCGACCGGTAGGATAATCAGAACAAGGAAGTGAAAGTATATACAACAAGGTGAAAGCAACAAACGAAAAATGGAAATCGAAGAATTATAATGCAAGGTAAAGAGGGAAATAATGGAGAGAGACAGAAGAGAGATAAGAGAAGAAATTGAAGAGTGTCAGTATGACGAGTGAGGAAAGAAGAAGAAAAAAAAAAAGAAAATTAATACAGAATTTTAAGTGCAATTTGAAAACAAAAGGAACATAAAGCAAATATGAGAAAGGGAAAGGAGCTACTACGTGAGAGGAATAGCTATAAGGATGAATGGGTAACGTATGAAGAGAGAAAAATAAGAGGAGAAATGCTGAGAATATAAGGAAGATTGAATGAAATAAGCGTACTAAAGTTAGAAGTACAAGTGGAAAATAAAAAGACAATAATAATGAGAGGGCAAAAGGAGAAAGGAAGATTTAGTAAGCAATGAAAAGAGAGGCGAAGGGCAAAAGAACTGGGAAGAAAGGAAAGAGATAGTACAGAAATGCGCATAAATAAATACACAAGACAACACAGATACGACACTTTCACATACTTACACAAATAAGTACACTCACACTCAAACTCGGAAACGCGAAAGACAACAAGAAACTTGTACACAATGAAGAATTGTAATTACAACTCAAAATAAAATATGTAACTAGAAGAATAAACATATATGTGTATGTGTATTTATTCTACTATACTTTATTCTACATATATATATGTTTATTCTACTATATATTGTAACAGGCTGCCGTTTAGTCTAAAATCACGCAAATATACCTTTAGATGCGACTAAACGACGCCTTGTTATCTATGTGCTTAAAGCACAGTAACCTACCTTGCCCCGAAGTGCGCCTGCGCAGAGTCTTCAACTTCTCCGAGCTGGGTTCCCCCAACTCGCCACTTGGCGGCGCTGTCGCTCGTACGCGTAGCGCTCGTGCGGCCGCCACCGGAACCTAGGTTATCGACTCGCGTCTATCGATACTTGCGCGATTCGTGCTTCGCAACCGGCGAATTCGAATCTCCTGAAAATAAACACTGGCGCGACCTCCGGACAAAGGAATGACAAAATAACGACTGTTTAACTAGAATATAACGATTAAGATGCTCTTTATTTAGCTAATTAAATTACACGGGGAATCAGCCGAGAGTCTGACGCACGCACGCGTGAATGACAAGACACGCTATTTGAGAGAGAGAGAAAAAACCGCGATTGCCGCGAACTACCTGCTCGCACGCAAAACAAATTCTTCGCGCTCGCTGCGCGGATTCGCACGCCAAAATTAACACAATGATTAATTACGGGAATTAAGGTGCACCTACCGCAACGACGGCGTGGATACGGTGGCCAACCGTATCCGAATAACACGTTGTTATTAAACTGCTCCGCTGCTTGCTGTACCACCTCGAATTCTGTTGCTGCTGTTGTTGTTGCTGCTACTGATACTGCTGCTATGACTGTTGTTGCCGCTGCTACTGCAGTTGTTGCTATGACTGTTGTTGCCGCTGCTACTGCAGTTGTTGCTGCTGCTGCTGCTAGCACTCACCCACGCAAAATGCAATGTCAATAGCAAACAAAACAAAACTCGAACGGCTCGGAAACAGGTTAGGCGCACGAACTGACTGAGTGGCACAGTGATACTAGCGCTCGGAGCCTCCCCTCCCGGTCATTGCCCCTTACGCGCTCTCTCTCTCTCGCGAACCGAACGCGGCTCACCTCGCTTAGCCGCTTGCTAACCTCGCGCGAGTCTACGATTTTCGGTAATCGTTGCAATATATATATATATATATATATATATATATATAAAATAAATTTTCTATGGATATGTCTATTTACAGAACTTTACGGTATGAAATTGTAATGTATATCTTTTAAATTTTATTAACATATAGATTTTGGTATGACTTAATCAAAGCATAATTAGAAAACACAATTGTACACTTAAATTATTGAATAAGCTCGAGCTAATAATACATTTTAAGATTAAATTAAATTCATTGCCAGATGATAGTTACAAGCTATACAATTACAAGATAATTTACATCCATCTGGATAGAACTACTAACTTGATGGATACTTCGCCTAAGAACTTATTAAAAATACTAATTTTTCTAATTAATTTATCAATTTATCATTAATATATTTCCATACATTTTACTGTTCTTTTCACTACTATTTATTTCTATTTTTATTTGGGTATCCTTGATTACTTTATTGAAAACTTTCTTATGTTTCTTGTATTCTTCTTCGAATCTCTTATTAGTTGCCGTACTACACGATTTTTTATATAATTGTTCTTTGGGTTGGGTTAGGTTTACGAGAAATTATGATGTCATTAGTCATCTATGCTTTGCTCTATCTATTTGTTTTTTTGCTCTGCATAATATCGGTAACTACATTACTGATAACATCTTTGATCGTGTTAAATATCGCAGGATGCTATTTCAGGTTCATACGTTAATGATTCAATATTATGGAACAATATTCCAATTCATTTTACAACCAAGAATTTTACAGTTTATTATAATTAATGTGTTTAAAATTAGTAATCTTATTAATTTTATTTCTGTCAATCTCTACATTGATAGGATAGTGATCAGAGTTAAGCATGTATTCATTTTAATAGGATTAACAGTGTTATTTGTTTTTCAAAATATATTATCATCACGTGATCTTTTATTTATGTTGTGAAAATTTCACCTCGTAATCTTATTAAAAAATTACAAGTATAATGAATTTAATTTTCAGATCTAAGCTATTATATGATTCAGGGTTGACTCCATTTTTATCTACAAGGACGAAATCATGATCATCTTCCATCATTTCTGATCTTAATCACTTTCCCATCTCGTTTCTTACTTTGGAATTCCAGTTTATTTGTCTTTGGTTTATTTGTTTGTGATGATGAATTAATGACAAATTTTGGCTTTTAACATTATTAGCTATTTTTGTCTCAGTGATATTGTAACTCACGTCATTTGAAACTATGCCACTCTAAAACCGAGGAAAGTAGGTACTATAACTTTTACCCTTTAATCCGTTTGATTAATTCTTCTATTTATCCTGTGTTTTGGATAAACGTATTTACTTTATTAGAATCAAAGGAGTTTCTGATCTATGTGATGGGTCAAATGCTAGTGAATATAGAAGCACGTGTGAGCACGACCGTGTTCCTGGCATCGATATTCATGAGGTGACTATTGCCGTCCATCTTGTGATCGTCAAAGTATGCGAGCGCGACCGCGTTCCTACTTAGTCAATCATAATTTCGGTCGACAATTAATCACGTAAATTATAAGACTTTGAACTCGTACATTGAATTGTTATGATAGGAGTTTTTGATCTATGTGATGGGTCAAATGCTAGTGAATATAGAAGC